TGTTGTTTTATATGAGAAAGCCTTAGCGGTCCAAGGTGTGTGTGTGTGTGTGTGTGTGTGTGTGTGAGAGAGAGAGAGAGTTTGAGTGTGAATGTATGAGAGCGAGTTTGAGTGTGAAAATACTGGCATGGTACGCTTTGAACTCCCCAGGTCTGTGTGTGTGTGTGTATAAGTGACTGCACTCCGTTCAAACCTTTCTTTCCATCTTTTCCATTGATTGTGGGGAATATGTTTTTACATCACCTTTTGACTTTTTCTTTGAACTCTTGCAATTTGGGAAACTGGGGCTAATTACAATTCTGTGTAAGGCTTTTATTTTCCTTTACTATTAAGTGTAGAACTGTGTCTAGTCTGGAGGACTGAAGTGGCCAGTGATCACCATGGCAACTCAGTGCATTTAATATTTTTTGTTTTGTTTTGTTCTGGAGACATCACACGACATGGTGTTACTTTCTAATGAATGTTTTAGCCATTTTCATGGTGGAAGAATTTTATATTTATGCAGTTGTACAATTTATTTCAGCAGGAGAAAGTATAATGTATGAATCCAAAAACCAAAGTCACTGGTCAAAGGTTGCAAACCTATCAGATGCAAAGCAGTACCCCATGTAATAGGATATTTTGTTTTGTTGTTTAAAGTTCTTAAAAGTCAGAACACTTGTCAAGAGTTGCATTTGCTCTTGTAATGTTATTTAAATCTGGGTAAGACCTAAGAAGAAATAAATGGACAGACAACTGAGGTATTGTCTTTCAAGTGGTCTTTATTTAAATAACTGCTGGCAAGATGTTTCACACGGTTGCTTCACCCATCTAAAATCTTAAAGAAATACTGGACCTGAAAAACAGAAATTCCCACAATTCATTCCAAGCTTCCATAAGGACACTGACAAAAGATCAAAACCAAGACAAAAATACACACTATAAATGCACTATGTACTATCTGATGTATGAATTTGTCATCCAATTGTCCAACATGGGAGTCCTTTAAGGAAACCCGTGGCAGTTGAAGAACACTACACAATGTTTTGTGCAGAATTTTGCCCTGATTTGTAATCTGTATAGACACTAGTTTTCAAAAGTCGAAGCTAGTCTGCTGACTTTAAGCTGTCGGAATTGATAGATTTCAGACAAAATCCTTGTGTATAATGGACAATTTTTTTTAAGCTTCACACTATGATTCCATCCAGTCGCAGGATATAGAACATCATAATTTCATATTTTGAACTGATTTTAGAAAACATGGTTTTTATTTATCATTTTCATTCCCAGCAACAAGACAAATGTTTCTGTGTTACCTGAAAGTCTGGTAGACATTTGTGTATGATACCTAGTTTTAATCTGTAAGCAAATCTGTGCAGATTTTAAAAGTCATGTAGTGCATCCCAGCTTTAAAGGGATAGTGCACCCAAAAATGAAAATTCTGTCATTAATTACTCACCCTCATGTCGTTCCAAACCCCTAAGACCTTCGTTCATCTTCGGAACACAAATTAAGATATTTTTGATGAAATCTAAGAGTTTTTTGACCCTCCATAGAGAGCAATGCAACTGAAATGTTCCCAGGTCCAGAAACATAGTAAGGCCATCATTAAAATAGTCCATGTCACATCAGTAGTTCAACCGTAATTTTACAAAGCTACGAGAATAATTTTTGTGCGCAAAGAAAACAAAAATAACGACTTTATTCAACAATTCTTCTCCAAGTGACCGTCTTCCGCCATTATTGAAAGTACCACGACACATGCGCATGCATTCCTCTGCTCGTAAACAAGGCTCAGCGCATGTGTCGTGGTACTCTCGATAATGGCGGAGAATGGGACGAGGAGGAGAAGAATTGTTGAATAAAGTCGTTACTTTTGTTTTCTGTGCGCACAAAAAGTATTCTCGTAGCTTTGTAAAATTACGGTTGAATCACGTGGACCGTTTTAACGATGTCCTTACTACCTTTCTGGGCCTGGGAACATTTCAGTTGCATTGCTCTCTATGGAGGGTCAAAAAGCTCTCGGATTTCATCAAAAATATCTTAACTTGTGTTCTGAAGATGAACGAAGGTCTTACGGGTTTGGAACGACATGAGGGTAAGTGATTAATGACAGAATTTTCATTTTTGGGTGAACTAACCTTTCAAGTGCATTAAGAGTCCAATATTTCACACTTAGTTTTTTTCTACTCACACATATTTATACAGAAATGGCATAGAATACTGCACAAGTATGTGAATTGGGACACACCTTATGAGAGTGTTTAATAAATTACAATGTCTTACATAAAAATTTAAAAAAACCCTGTGTTAATTTGAGAAGCACTTTTAGCACTTCATCAGGCCTGAGCATCAGCTCACCACCAGCTTGTTTTACTTTCAAAAAATTGACTTTCCCTGAATTGTGCCCGTTACGGCAGCCGGTGTCTGTGCTGGGCCTCTGTGAGGCCTGAGCTCTTGGAATGTCATGGCCGAGTCGGTCAGCAGGCAAATGATTAACAAGGGGGCATTTGTGCTAGGAGGTTGGACAGATCAGGAGTTGTGCACAACAATGACGTCCACCGGGCCAAACCCACTCCTTGGCATAACAATGGCTTATTTTTCCCCCTTCTTCCAAACCGACTCTACCCGCCTGCTTTCCTTCCTGTGAGCCGGGCTGTGGGTCTGCCTCGGCCCACTGCGGACAGTCATGAGACGTGGATGCCATTTTGTTCTGGGCTTCATAAGCATTTGTGGAATCCAGAAATATTTCAAACTTCCTCAAAATGAGACTGAATACAAAACGTGACTGTGTGGCCCTTGCATAACATTTGAATGATATTTGCTTGAGCTCACCTCCAGAATCCCATCTTCCGGTAGGTCGGTGCAGTGAATGGCATTCTGCACTTTGTTTTTGCCGTAGAGCGCTCGTAAAGTGGCGGGCCGAAGGTGGCGTGCAATTTCCTGTGTGGAAACAGAACATGTAACGTGATGACATCTCTGTGATGGGTTACAGTAAGAACAATGGAGCATATGCTTTGAACAGGGTTTCCTTGGTAGAACAATTGGATAAAAGCACAGGTGACGAGGCATGTGCTGTGATGGTTACTCATGCTCAACGCTGCTGCGAGATCACATAATGTCACATTCTATCCAGGGAATCAGGTTACTCACACATGCTTGTTCACATTACTGCAAACATCAGCTTCCTAAACAGTCCTCTTTGAGTCACTTGGGAGTCACACAAAAACCTTTCAGCTTAAACTCAAACTTAAAGGGATAGTTCACCCCAAAATGAAAAGTTTAACATCATCAACTCACCTGTATGAGTTTCTTTCTTATATTGAACATAAAAGAAGATATTTTGAAGAATGCTGGTAATCAAACAGTTGACGATCCCCATTGACTTCCATAGTGTTTCTTTCCCTACTATGGAAGTCAATAGGGACCAACAAATGTTTGGTTCTTCGAAATTCTTCAAAATATATTCTTTTGTGTTCAGGTTGTTCCAAAACTGTATGAGTTTCTTTCTTCGTTGAGTACAAAAGATTATGTTTTTAAAGGGGTCATATGATGCGATTTCAATTTTTCCTTTCTCTTTGGAGTGTTACAAGCTCTTGGTGCATAAAGAAGATCTGTAAAGTTGCAAAGACTAAAGTCTCAAATCCAAAGAGATATTCTTTATAAAAGTTAAGAGTCAACCACGCCTACCTAAAACGGCTCGTTCTAACACACCCCACATGTCTACGTCACGATGTGCGAAGATTTGCATAACACCGCCGAAATGTTCACGCAAAGAAAGAAGGCATAACTTTTATTCTCGCTGTAGTATTGTTGCCGCCACC